CGGGCTGCCGCATTCATGCAGCATGTTGTTAAAATATGTACTCGGAGAGGAGATAGCCACCTTCTGGAACTTGTGATAGCAGCTTTCCCCAGCTCCCACACTGATAACACAGCTCACAGGTCTCACGTGCGGCATCATATTTCAGTTACACTGAGTGTCTTTGACTGTTTCTTCAGGGAAGGAAAAAGATTCACAGGGTTAGGACGTGGAGGCTCCGACTGATTATAGTCCACAGGGTTGGAGGAAGTAGGGACTATTGGGAGTTGACCTAATGTTTCAAGCTTTCCATGAGAAAGGGCTTAAAGGGAAATTGCATGAAGAGGCAGGGCCTTAAATATTAATGCCAAGGACATCTTCAGAGTTGTGCCACCCAGGGGCATGAGATGGATGATCTGTGATGTTTCAGAGGCCAACATGTTATTGGACGATGCTTGTGCGAAGGGATAAATGCTAAGAGGTAGGTCCTGTATTGCTTGGTTTGCTTTAAGGTGCACACACACATAGATGAACACCTGCAGTGTGCTTCTAAAGAGACTTGAGACTGAATGTCCTCCATCTCATAAGACATGTGAGAAGCAAGAGCATCCTGAAGCCCCCTTCCCCACTGACCTCGTGGTAAGCATTTGGAAAATCTGGACAATTCGAAAAGATTGCATTGGACCTCGTTGTTTCACCTTTGCCAGCATCTTTGTGAAACAAGTTAATAGTGTCACTTATGAGAAATGAGAAAGGGGTTTTCTTCTCTCATCCTTGGACTGAGCGAATTATTTCCTTTTTGGAAGAGGGCTTTACTTCTAAGCTGGTGGCATTTCTGGGGCTTAGATTTTGAATGGAGCACTATTAATATTTCCCAAAGGATAAGACACCATCTGTAGTTAAACAAGTTGGGATTCTGACGTCAGTAACATCCAGACTTTATTACATCAGAAAATACGAACCTATGGATGACCTTGCTCTTTGATGCAAAGAAAACAGTTTTTAGTAAAGAGCATATTTATACTATTTGATTAAAATTAAGTTCCTAAAGATCAAATAAGTCCTGATGTTAGGAAACATGCTCCTAAAATGATAGATCTCAGGAGTCACTTGGGAGGTGCTACTGCCATGCTTGAGGTCAGAGACGGTAAAGAGAATTAAGAAAGGAGATTTCATGAGGATCATAGATGGGGACTGAGTTTTGCATCTTGTGTTGAAGACTCGAGAAACAGCTCTTTGCCTCAGGAGAAACAGAGTTTTGGCAAGCTGAAATTAAACAAACAAAGAGCTTAAGAGCCTGTCAGACTACAGTAAAAGTCTCACATTTAAAATAGTCTATTCTGACATTCCTAATGACTGGCTGTGTCCCTATTAAGTGAAAATTCCTACCATTAGTATTTACACCCAGGCTATACGAACGAGAATCTATTGAAAAGAAGAATTTGAATACACCAATCATAGCCAGTCAGCATTAAATATATCATTATTTAAATGAGAATTCAATTAAATGGGAATATTTTTTTATTTCTCCTTATAGCATGCTTCTTATAAACTACCTTTAAAATGATTTTCCAATATAAAAACACATGCCCATTCTAGAAATTTTTATACACAGAGAAAAGTAGAAAAAAATGCAATTTTATTTATTTATTTATTTATTTATTTATTTATTTATTTATTTATTTATTATGAGAGCGAGCAAGCGTGTGTGCAAGCAGGGCCCAGGGCAGAAGGAGAGGCAGAGAGGGAGACTCTCAAGCAGACTCCCCGCTGAGCATGGAGCCCAACCCAGGGCTCCATCTCACGACCCTTAGATCCTGACCTGAGCTGAAACCAAGACTCGGACCCTTAAGGGACTGAGCCACCCAGAAGCTCCTGTAGTTTTGTCACCAAAGGCAACCAGTGCCAACATTTTGTTAATTTCCTTCTAATTGTTTCAGGTTGTGATCGTACACCCTCCTCCTCCCTACGTGTTACTGCTACCGCGATCAGTACTGTTACTGCCTTCTTCACCCACCACTTCCTGGGAGTGACATTATATTTGCCCTGGTCTTCACGTATAGTTCTGTTCAGCTGCTCATCCCCCCCGCCTCGTCTTATCAAGCAATAACTGACACGTGTCACTGTGTGAGCTTAAGGCGTACTGCCTGGCGGTGCAATGTGCATTTATTGTGATACGTGGACCACAGTAGGTTTCAGTTACCAACCATCCTCTCACAAAGATTAAAAAAAAAAAAAAGAAAAAAATTCCCCTTCCCGGCTCTCTGTGTGTCATGGAGATGTGTTAGCTACAGTCATCGCGTCCGTCATCCCGGCGCTTACTTACCTTCTAACTGCCAGTCTGTGCATTTGACAGCTTCTTTCTTTCTTTTTTTTAAAAATATTTTATTTATTTATTCATTCATGAGAGACACAGAGAGAGAGGCAAAGACACAGGCAGAGGGAGAAGCAGGGTCCCAGTGAGGAGCCTGACGCGGGACTTGATCCCAGAACCCTGGGGTCACCGCCTGGGCCGAAGGCAGACACTCAACCCCTGAGCCCCCTGGGGATCCCGACAGCCTTCTTTCAACTCCTTCTCCAGTCCCCCACTTCTGGTTACCACACATCTTGTCTCTGTTCCATGAGGTCGGTGTGTGTTGTTTTAATATTAGATTCCACATCTAAATGAGATCGTACACTGTTTTTCTCTCTCTGACTTATTTCACTCCACATAATGCCTTCAGAGTTCATCCAGGTTGTCACCAATGGTAGGAATTCCTCTTTTATGGTGGAATTATATTCCATTGTGTGTGTGTGTGTGTGCGTGTGTGCGCGCGCACATGTGTGTACCACATGTTCTGTGTTCATTCATCCATCAGTGGACACTTAGGCTGTTTCCATGTCCCAGCTGTTGTAGATAATGCTGCTGTGAACACGGGAGTGCAGATATCTTCTCAAGTTAGTGTTTTTGTTTCTTTTGGTTTTATTCCCAGAAGTGGAATTTCTGGATCAGATGGTAGATGTATTTTTAAGTTTTTGGAAACCTCCCTACTGCCTTGCACTGTGGCTGCACCAGTTTACATTCCCACCAGGAATGGTGCACGAGGGTTCCCTCCTGTCCACATCCTCACTAACATTCGTCACCTCTTGGCCTTTTCGATGACGGCCATCCTAAGAGACATGAAGTGGTAGCTCCTGGTTTTCTTTCATTCTACGTTTTCTTATTACCTAAATTTTTCTTTTGTCTCTGAATTCTCTTATAAAATATTCCCTTATTCTAAAAACAATTCTACATTCTGCTTTTTCACTTAAAAAATAGTCTAAGAATTCCCCCCATGCCGTTAACATTCTTCATAAACAATTTTAATTGCATCGTAACAGTCCATTTTAAGTGTATTTTTCATAATGGTAAATGTTCAATCGTTTTTATTTTTTGCGTATGCCTTTTTGTTATTAAATACCAAAACCAGTTTATTTTTTTAATTTTAATTTTTATTTATTTATGATAGTTACAGAGAGAGAGAGAGAGAGATGCAGAGACATAGGCAGAGGGAGAAGCAGGCTCCATGCACCGGGAGCCTGATGTGGGATTCGATCCTGGGTCTCCAGGATTGCGCCCCGGGCCAAAGGCAGGCTCCAAACCGCTGCGCCACCCAGGGATCCCCAAAACCAGTTTAGACATGATGTGGGATGGCTCTAGTCCAGTTGGACTGAGGTCTAGAAGGAAAGGCACCCAGAAATGGGGAGAACTAACGTGTTAGTCACTATTCATTACTCAGTCATTTCTCTGAGAACCACTCGTGAAGAAAATGGGGACAAGGACCAGCTCACAGTCAGATCTTTTTCAAATTAAGCCTCTTTATATAAAATCCCAAATGCGCTGCCTTCTCTCCGTGTTGTTAAGGTTCTAACTTTCGTCTTATCTCCAACAGCCCTCTGATTGTGCTCCTCTTGGTTTCTCTTTAATTTTTGTTTCCATAGGAAGTCATTTGGAACTTCTTATCCCCGAGAATCAAATTATCACCATCTTTAAATTCTGCAAAACTTTCCTGCTAACCACTGAACCCCAGTTACATAATTCGTAAATATCTTTCCCACTGACTGCATGTTTAATCCAGGTCTAAATCATGTTGTGTTTAAAAACATCCTGTTCAATAGTTTTATCCGCCCGGTTACCTCACTTTAAGCTGCTTGGAGAAATAGACTTTCTCTGAAAATGTGTAAGGTATGGATAAAGAACTATTTCTACTAGTTGTTTCAAACAGCTAATAATAAGGAACCCTGTTCTTAACATGTTTTACCAAAATATTATTCTAGAACTCCCGCACCATAACTTGCGTTATAGTAGCCACTTGGCATGGAGAAGAGAAGAAACTAAAAATGATCCCCACCCGCATGGAGCGTAAAGTTTAGTGGCAGAGGCATATAAAAAATAGGTAAACAAATCGTTTTTTTACCATGCGTGTGTATTGTACGATACATCCTGACGTTCTTTTGTAATGTGTAAAGATAGTGATAACAGTGTTTATTCCATACAATTTTCTTGTATCTTTTTCACATCTATTTCTTTTTTAAAAAAATTTAATTCTTTTTTACATATTTTTTAAATTGGAGTTCAATTTGCCAACATATAGCATGACACCCAGTGCTCATCCCATCAAGTGCCGCTAAACTAAGCTGCAAACTTTGGTTTAAAGTGCTTCTCCAAAAAAAATAAAAATAAAAAAATAATAAAGTGCTTGTCCATTGGTTTTCTCACCATCTTTGTGATTAAAACACATTCTAAAACAAAATGGAACGGTGTGAGTGTGCTTGTTTCTGGTTGGTCACGTGTGCATTAAATTCTCACGCTTTGAAGGAGAATTTCTCAATGTCTTTCGGACTGCCATGGGATTAGTTTGTTCTCTGGTCCTTCACAAAATGATTGGATTCCTAACAAGAAAATGCATTGTAATGTGCCAGAGCGCTGTACGGCTCTGCTAAACTTCACAGACTGTGCTAACACTTGTCAGATGTGCCAATAAATCTTCCCTCTCTTCCCCTAGGTCCAAGGATCTCATAAAGGAAGCTATCCTTGACAATGACTTCATGAAGAACCTGGAGCTGTCGCAGATCCAGGAGATTGTGGATTGTATGTACCCGGTGGAGTACGGCAAAGACAGTTGCATCATCAAAGAAGGCGATGTGGGGTCACTGGTGTACGTCATGGAAGGTATGGTTTGTAACTCTAATCCTCTGACACTCAGATGCTGCCTTTCATCTTATCAGCCTGCACACAGATGGTGATGTATTATATGGTACGGTTCCACTTCTCTGTCTTTTGTTCTTGAGAAGCAGTTTGAATAGAGGTGGAACACGCTTTAGACACAGTGGCTGAGTAGTCATATGAAGCGTTCGTGTTTAGAATACGAATCTGAGAATCTAGTATTCTTTTAGACATGGAGAAAGAATGAGAGGGTGAAAGAGAGAAATGCTGTTGATTACAGCGGACGTGTCTGCATGCCATCAGGTCATTGAGCAAGCTCGCGAAGCTTCCAGAGAAGCTCAAGACTTGCGGAAAGTATTTTTGGCCAGATAATCCAAGTGTCGGCTCTACCTTTAATTTTTAGTGTATGACTAGGTCTCTTGCTCTCATGCTTCTATAAAAAGAACGTTTTCGGTGATTTATATGTGCATGAAAGAAGAAATCAGACTGGTCGGGTGACATGTTAGCTATCTAATTAGTAAGAGTGATGGACTGTTTCCTAAATCTTGTGCAAATTAAGATAGAAATGGCTTTGAAAAACAACTGAGGCAGGCACCACCCAAACAGATCGTACACCTAGGAAGATTTTCATATCGTATATCTCTAACTTGTAATTTCTAATACCATGTCTTCCTTCTGGGAGAAAACAAAAGCCTGAAGTGATGACCGGATCAGCCTAAGACAGAGTGAGTTCAGAAGTGCTCAGAACTCAGAAGTGCTCTGATCTGTAAGATCAGAGAGTTGCCGTATAGACGTTACAGTCAGTTTATAGGTGGTGATCAACGTCTTACCCTAAGCATTCATGGCAGTGTCCCAGAACTGTCAAGTTGATAGGTCATTAAGAGGGGTGTATTTGGGCAAATGACTTAACTTCTCTGGGTTTTGCCTAATTTGTCAACAATTCTGTTGATTGCCACTACTTCCTGGTAGTGTTTCTCAACTGGTGAGGATTCTATCCCTCCACAGGACATTTGACAATACCTGGTAACATTTTTGGCTGTCACGGGTGGAGTGGAGGAGGTGGGGAGAGCTACTGCTATCTCGTGTGTAAAGACCAGGAAGGCTGCTTTGCCGGGCTGTTGCCCACAACAAAGAGTCATTAGATTAGTGCCGATGTTGCAAAATCCTGCTTTCTCCCGTCTTTGTAAGATTGTTCTGAAGTTAATATGAAATAATTGGAGATCAGGTTTAATGTAAAGTATAAAACATTGTAAAATAACAATATGTATTACTGTTTCTATCAAATACTTGGCAGGACGTAAGAAATGTGCTTCCTGCATATGTCATTCACCTTTTAATTTTTCTTTGTGATCGTTTTTGACACGTATGAGGTGGTCAACTTCTAAGTCATAATTTTGATCATTTTTTTTCTCCATAAGTTTTCAGCGTTTGTGTCGGTGTCATGAAGTTTTTCTCCAAAAGGAAATAAATGTTCAGCGAGGCTCTCTTCTGAATAAAAGCAAGACACAATAGACAAAAACACAAACAGTATTCACTTGGCAGACAATTGCAGGGGAAGAAGATGAAATTATAGGGCAAGAGTATATGTGGGTAGTAAGCAGAAAGGATGAGAAAAATGCAGGGAATATACAGAGACCAAGTATAAACTATAAATACAGAGAGAAATGTCAGGAAGTGTTAATTTAAAAACCAAGTTTCAAGCATTTCTTAGTTTTTAGTTTTTCAGTGGTTTTGTCATTGATTTTTCAGATAATTTATTGTCAGGCACGTTTTTAAGAACATCCCTATTTTATAAAGGAAAGTCCACCTTACTTCCACTATTTGCAGATGCTAATTATTGAAAACCCACTCAAGAAATGGATGTTTCCAGAACCTGTTTGTTGTTTTCCTTTATTTTGAATATCTCTTACGAAAATAGATATCCATGCAACCTTGAAAATTTTTTCTAAGAAACAAAAAAATTCTCTTAATCCATACTACCTTAGCTTCTAAGACTAACTGCTAGTTTACTAGCTATGTCAGAAGAAGCTTGGAAATCCTAGTGTATATTTACTGAGTGCTTAGAACAAGGTACAACACACTGAGCATGCTTTTTATAAAAATTCTTGCCGTGTATAAAATGTATTTACCTTCAAAACAATCCCATGAGGTAAGGGGTAATATTTATTATTCTTCTTTATAGATGAGGAGACAGAGGCCTGATGAGGTTAAGTAATTTGCCTAGATCTCCCAACTAGTTTATAGTAGAATTAGGATTGAACCCAAGTCAGGGTTCTCCCAAGAAATGGAGCCGATAGATAGATGGATAGATAAATGGATAGATAGAGAGATAGACGATTGATAGATATTGATGGATAGATACTTATTTTAAGGAATTGGCTCATGTGATTGTGGCACTGGCAAATCCAAAAATCTACATGGTGAGGTCAGCAGGCTAGAGATCCAGGGAAGAGTTGATGTTGCCGTTCAAATCTGAAGGTCGACTGTTGGCAGAAATCCTCTTTTTCTGGGGAGGTCTGCCTTTTTTTTTTTTTTTTCAATTGAGGCCTTCAAACAATTGCACGAGGCCCACCAACATTCTGAAGGTAATCCACAGCTCAAAGTCTCCTGAATTAGATATTCATTTCTACAGAATTCCTTCACGCAAGTATCTAGGATAATGTTGGACCAATAATATCTGGATATCGTGGCCTAGGAAGTTGACACATAAAATTAACCATCCCAGGTCCACTTCTTTTTTTAAAAAAAAAATTTATTTATGATAGTCACAGAGAGAGAGAGAGAATGAGAGAGAGAGGCAGAGACACAGGCAGAGGGACAAGCAGGCTCCATGCACCGGGAGCCTGACGTGGGATTCGATCCCGAGTCTCCAGGATCGCGCCCTGGGCCAAAGGCAGGCGCCAAACCGCTGCACCACCCAGGGATCCCCCCAGGTCCACTTCTTATCAACTGGGGCACCTGTGCGCATCTCCTTAAACCGTGCTTAATTTCCAAGAAAGGTGGCAGCAAGTTCGTAGCTCTACCTAACATGATGTGACGATTCTGAGTAGGGCTGAAAACCCAGTAACACTTTCCCCTAAAGAGGGTACAGAGTCCTGGGGTACTATTTACTCTTTCCCTTAATATTCCGTAATTGAGATGCTATGTTGTAAAGCTAATACTTAAACACTGTGATGTAAAGTCTCTATATCTCGTGTTACATGAATAAGGGGGAATGAGAGAAGAAAATGAAGCGTTTTGTGCACATACATGCCCTTACACGCACACGCCTACACACAAACATATTTATGACAAAGTAAAGAAGAAATACCCATGACAGGCTTCCCGACATAAAGGTAAACATACTAATCACCCCCCCCCCCTTGCTTCAAGCCAATTCTGATGAATTTTATTTATCCGGCTTTTCCTGCTGTATGGACTAAACAGCAAGTCCTCTTAATTATCTTTTGTAAAACAGGATTTTAAATAGTGTATCAATATTCGGAGTCACAGATTTTGCAGTAATGCTGTTGATTGCCTTCAGCTAAACTCACGAACGTGATATAATCTTATAAACTGATGCCGATCTGTCCCCAAGCTGTGATTCTAACCAGTTCAGTGTAACTTTGGCCGATCTTGTGCTAATACCCTTGTGTCAAAATAATTTCAAATTAAAAACAAAAGGTCATTTAAATTTTTATAAGTTTTAATTGAAGAAATGTTTCATTGTTTAATTAGCTTTTTATCAACATTTTTAATCTTCTCAAAATTTAGATAGCAATGTTCTTGATAGAGATTGATTCTTTTTCATCTGTGAGCATTAATATTTATAAAGAGCATTCCATAGCAACAACGGATGAGTAGGTTATGGAGGATCATTCACAAACTTGCTTATTATCCAGACATTCAGGAAAATACCCAGGGAATTTACGTGGAAAATCAGTCCGGTTTTCTCTGTCTCTCTTTACTCAAATGAAGTTTCTTCATATAATGCTGTTTAACATGTGCCTCAAGTAGCTTTTATTTTAGCTGGGCAGTGTCCCAAGTATGATTGCAAACCTAAATGCCAGAATTTTCTCATCGTTTTAGCAAAAGAGAATAGTCATATGGTAAGACTTCACTAATTAGGATGACTGGGGAAAAAAATCATCTGGGGATAGTGTAAATATATTATCATATATTTTCAAGCAAAATGAGTTGTGTGACTTTCAGATACTTAAAATTGCTGGCTAGTAGAAGTTTCAATGTTAAGTTTGAGTCAGAATTGTTTGGTATTAGTTTTTTAAAGCAGTAGCGTAAGTAGGTTACGTTGCTAAGGCTCTGTTTATATTTTAATTATGTTTTCAAATATATAAATGACTCTTATGAAATACTTGAATACAGTGTATTTTCTTAAATGGACACTAGCCTTAATCATGATGTAATATTTATTACTATCCTTATACTCTTACCCTCCTTTTGGTTATCATAGAGACATTTTAGTCTGTTGTGTTCCAAAATAATACATATTCTGATTCAGTGACTTTCAATGGTGATGTGAATAAAGCATCTTCTCTGTGAATCTAATTGAATATTTTTATATTGAAAAATGTCGAATTTGTATCCATCAAAGTGGTGGGTTTGTATCTTTTCTGTGATGTTTCATTGTGGAAGCAAATAGATTACATTTTATTTCCTAAAAAAAATAAAAAATAAAAAATAAAGGAATATCATCTATTTAGCGTTCTATGAGCATTGGCTATTTTAAGTTAAACTTTTCAATGAAATTATCCTTTTTTTATGAGGTGCTTGTTAACGATAATAGCTTTTATTACGTACTTATAAATGCCAGGTAGTGTTTAATCCTTTCATAAGTATTACATTTCAATCTTCATAGCAACCTTGAGGAGTAGATATTCTGTTCTCTGCATGTTAATAGATGGAGACCCTGATGGATAGACAAGGTGGGTAACTTGGCCAGGATCATCCCACCGGGATGTTGAGGTGTGAACCTGGGCTATGTGCTCCAGAGTTCCCACACATAAATG